GTTTAAGAAAAAGTTTTAAAGTATTAATAAAAAATATTAAATAATACCTGAAAGAAACACTAAAATTTTTATTTAAGATATTTCCACATTGGTTCTTGATTATCATCGTCACTTGCAATATTGTTTGCTTTTATCCTATTATTCTTGGCTGTATGATTCATTTGTAAGGATCTTTTCACTGTAGGAGGAAGATCCCATTCCTTTAGAGGCAAGTCAGATAGACAATAGTCATTGTGTTTGATATTTTAGAAACAGATGACTTCTTTTCTCTGAACATATTACGTTAATCTTTGAGAAACCTCTTTCTGCTTCTGCTGAATTTATAGTAATTGTTCTGACATTTGCTTTAGTTCTTTGAACACTTTTAAGAATTGCATTCACTGATAATATCTTCTGGGAATGTGGGGCATAACACAAAGCTGAAACGAATGACAGCGTGTCACCCTCTGATTGATTGGTACTTTTTCTCTTTACCATGATATGTTTGTTTATTGAAGTAACAAATGCAAAGGAATAAAAATGTAGTATTTCTTCCAAAGTGTAGTGGGTTTTACAAAATGAATAAACATTGCAAGCACAATGCTGTCTTTTTAAAAAAACATACCTGTAGACAGAATGAACATTTTGACAGGCTCTTAGAGCACACGGCTACACAGCTGAACGTGAAGAAGAGTAAGGACTGTAAAATCGTGAGTTCCACGTGGGATTGCTTCCCAGCCACCCATCGTGGAGAGAGCCTTGATGGCAAGGGCCATGATGACAACTTGCTCACCAGGCTGAACAAAACATCCGGTGTAGGTTCTGCTGATCCAGTGGGAACTAGCTGAATCCCGCCACTACTCTTCATGCCATTAAGTAGGGCAGCATGGAGATATAACCCTCCATAAAATTGGCCTTGAGCATACTTACCTGGCAGGGCATATGCCATGAGCATGCAGGTGGTTTTCCCAGGGCGAGGCTCATCCACTGCACTGCGGGCATGCTGACGCCTGCAATTTCCAAAAATGTGGGGAAGTCGACTGCATAATTTGTGACAGTGGGGGACTGCGTCTGCGCTTTCCCTTGCATTAAATTTTTTTAATTGGCCTTTAGCATATTAAATGCTATTAATCAAGGGACATTTTGTTCTCATAATTGTGGAAATTAATTTTCAGGTAAGAATCATGGGATATAAGTAGTCATTAAGAAGCACATATCCCATATGACCTAATGGTGTGATAGGCCACCCTAGAAAATTTAAGTGACCTTTTGTTAGCATAGAACAAAAGAATGGCAATCTATTGTATTATGCTTATTCAGAATTTGCATTATTTTCATTCTGGGTACTATATTTTAAAAAGAATGTTAATGCTCTACAGAAGGATGTTAGCTTGGTGAAAGCCTGGAAACACATTATAAGAACTGTTGAAAGATTTAGAGTCTCCTTGCATAGGTAGTGATATAGGTGGTAGGAAGGAGAGATTTCCCATTAGGATGGAATACATACTTCCATATATGTGAAAGATTCTTTAATTGAAATATGGGTAAGATCTGTCCTATATAACTCCAGTCAGGTCAATGGTAGGCAGATTTTCGGGCTCAGCATAAGGAAATCATTTCTGGAAGAATTATTCAGAATGGAATGGGCTCTTTTCTCAGCAAATAACTCGCCCATTGTGTAAAGCCATCTGAGCAACATCTGTGAGTGATACCTGAGAGGGGAGGAGTCAGGCTTAAATGACCACTAAACA